ATACTGCATTGAAACAGATGAGGGAGAGAATAATTTAAAAGCGATATATGATAGGGTATTATAGTTATCACAAGAGTCCACAATTAAGGGTGCATAGTGGAGTGTACCTGGGGCAGCAGGAGGAGTGCGGGGGGATTGTATACCAAAGAAAGAATTTTTCTTTTACTTTTTCAAACTGGGGGAGGGCTGGGCAGGGAGAAAAGTGCAACAATGAATGAACGGAAATCCAAAATCTCTGTAAATGTTCATTGAAATTATTAAAATAAAATTTAAAAGAAATAAGAAAAAAAAAAGCTGAAGATTCGTGTCCACCTAGGGCCACTTGGAAGTTAAGGCCTGGCAGTACGTAAGGGAAAATTCATCACTGATGTCCCCTGGAGTGCTGTTCTCCGACACATGCGCTCGTCACAAGTCAGAGACAACCTGATGGCAACTGGTAAGCTTCTTGACTTAGTAAGAGAAAGAAGTGGGGGAAAGCCTGCCCGCCCGCATATTTATAAGTGAGAAGAGGCGCCATGCTGTTCTGGAGAAACAAGAATGTAAAAAAATTAAAGATGTGAGGACACAGCTGGTGCCGAAGACCGAAGAACTAGACGGTGCCCTGGCCTCCACTCCCAACTGCTCTCTCAGGGTCACAAAAGGAAGGAGGCCCCAGACAGCAAAGGGAAAATACAGAACCAAAGTCGAAGTCCTGAGAGAGACCAGACTGCCTGGTGGGAACAGAGTGGGAGAACCGGAGATTCCAGCTTTCAACCCCAGCTCCAGGATCACGCCGCAGCCGAACACAGACAGGAAGCAGGACGAGCTCCTTAGACCAGAGGGCCCTGTCCGTCCCGTGCTATTGAGTCGGAGCTGAGCCACAGCTGACCCTCCTCCCACGGAAGGACATTTCCCATCTCCCCTGCAGAGCAGCTGGGGGCTTTCAACCACAAGCCTTCAGGATTACAGCGCAGCTTCTTACCACCAGGCCACCAGAACTCCCTAAAAGGAAACAAAGCTTGCAGGGCAGGAAGGGACAGGGCAGGGGGTTGGGGAGAGGTACAGGCTGAATGGGAAGGGGGAACCCTGGGAAGAAGTGAGAAGAGTACAACATTGAGGGGACTGTAACCAAAGTCACAGAACAAAACATCCATCATGGTGACCAGAAACCTCCTCTGCTCTCTGAACGTCCAACCAAACCTCAAGAAACACAAGAGAAAGACGCAGGCTGTGTGGCGTGTGCGGCGCCGAATGGCATGTACAGGACTGAGGGGGACGCATCAGCGAGGCCGCACAAACAGCCCTGCCGGGCCCACCACCGGCCACAGACCGTCCCTCCGAGCCAGTGGTTCTGTGACTTGCAACACTCAGCGTGGACAAATGCAGGGCACTAAACATGAAGACAGCAATTCTTTCTCTAGGGGACACTTGGTGGTGCCCACAGAGGAAGGAAGGAGAGGCCCGGCTAGTGGCCAGAAAGTCTGATTATGGGCAAAGTCCCATTTCTCGTACTAAATGACAGTTGGCCTCTGGTTCATCCTTGGAGTTTTGTGAGCTAACGTGCGTGCTGAACCCATTCCCCTCTGAGACACTGGCAGTGTCTGAGCTTCAAGAGGCAAGAACAGGGAATCCCCCCCAAGGTAATGCCTCTCTGTCGGACCCCAGCCCGCAGCCGAGGCCTGGAGCACGTCGCATTCTTCGCTGTGACACCGTGACCACAGAGCCTACCCTGTGAAGGAGTCCCATATCATGATCAGGCAGTCGGGCCCCGTGTCGGCCGTGGCAACCCACCGCCTGTCTTCACTGACGCAGAGGCAGGAGATGACGTTGGAGTGGCCCTGCGGGAACAGAGAAAAGACCCTGCTGGACAGGCCGGCCGAGGGCCCTTGCAAGGCTCAGCGACCACAGGTCTACTGCCAGGGGCTCCCCACCTCTCTGGGCCCACAGCCCCTTTCACTTTTACTCATTTATAGTCTGGGTGAACATTTACAGAGCAAGTAAGTCTTCTCCATTGAGTAAGTAATAATTTTTTTTGGAGGGTAAAGTAGTCAAGTTAGATTTATTAGTCACATCCCTAAAGGGATGGCCCTCCCTCCTGGAAATATGGAGTGGAAGCCTACTTTTCTTTTTTTTTTTTAACGTTAGGTGTGATCCCCTCAATGGAACAGCACTCTTCCCACTTCCTCCCTGGTATTCTTTTTTCCATTTATCCTTCCTGCCTGCCTTCCCCGTGTGGGACACATGCTGCTGCTCCGGCCTCAGATGACTGGTGGCTCTGGGAAGACACCTCATGGTGTCACCATCCGATTTGTAGTCTGTCTCGTGTCGGGCTGAAAGGTGATGCCGGGGTGAGTTCAGCCCTCAGCCTTACAGATGTCTAAGGCCTCACGGGCATCTAAGGCCTCATGGGGTGTCTGAGGGCCACATGGACGCCTGAGGGCCACATGGGTATGTGAGGCCTCATGAGTGTCTGAGGGCTACTCGGGCATCTGAAAGCCACATGGGCATCTGAGGCCTCATGGGCGTCTGAGGCTTCATGGGCATCCGAGGGCCACAGTCTCAAAGATTCCAGAAACCTCTACCCTCTGACCATGAAGTCTGGTCCTTCTTTTTGGGTTTGAATTTTGTTCTGTCTTTTTCTCTCACTCTGTCAGAACCTTCTGCTGTGATCTGGACAGAGCAGCTGGTCGTGGTGGCTGACTCCACGTGACGCTTCTGGGCCCATGTGGTCCTCTAGACCATCTCCCTGAGCCTCTGATTTCCTGCATTCACTCTGTCTCGACAAGGAGAGAACCACAGTTACAGCCCCAGGTTTTCTAATCTTCTGTTCTTTAAAACACCAGAAAGACAGGCCTCGTTGCCCCTGGGCTTCGGCAGGGGCAAAACTCCAGCTTAGGAAGAAAATAACACCTAGGCCAAATGAACTCCAGTCTAAATGACACCCAGTGCCTCATGGTTTCCTCAGGGGTTTCTCTGCTCCCACTGTTACCCCCATAATCCTGCCCCACAGAGGGGTCATCTTGAAAATCAAACGGGACCATGCTGCTCGCAGCACCCCCACCCCTGCGCTCTCCTGCCTGCAGCAGCCCCAGGTGAGGGCTTCCCCTCACCTGGTCTGGAATGTTCTTTACTCACACTGCCCCTCTGCCTCCCCTCCTCCCTCAGGTCTCGGCATGTTCTCATCTCGGGTCTGATCCCCAGCACGTTCACCTTCCTGTCCACCCTGGGACCAGCCCGTGACTGAGGCGGCTTTACTTGTTTAAGGTCTGCACTGCCCACGAGACCGCGGGTGCTGTGAGGCAGGGACTGGATATGTTTTAAGACTGCAGACTCCTCATCTGAGACACTGTGGTTACGATGACACTCTGTGGAACTGAGTCAATGATGGCATCTGGGTTGGGGAGTGAAGCGCTGTTTCTGTCTGCCTGACACCTTCCTGCCTATCAGAGCCACTCTCCCTCAGTCTGAGAAAGTTACTGGCTGTCAGAATCACCCCCCCGAACCCCCTTCCTCCATCTGGAACCCCTCTCCTTCTGTCTGAGCCTCCTTCCACGTTTGAGTCCTCCTGTGTGTCTGTTGGCCCCTTTCTGTCTGAGCAAGTCCCCACTCCAGCCGGTCTGCTCCCCCCTCTGTGTGTATCCCTCCCTCTCTGAGTTCTCCTCTGTCTGAGGAAGCCCCCGCCCCCGCCAGTCTGGTCCCCCCAGTGTGTGTGTCCCTGTCTCAGCCCTCCTCCCCCTGTCTGAGCATGTCCCACCCCCACTGGTCTGGATCCCCCCAGTGTGGGTGTGTGTGTATGTGGGGGGGGGGTGTGTCTCTCTCTCTCCCCGAGTCCCCCTCCATCTGAGCAAGCCCCCACCTCTGCCAGTCTGGTTCCCCCCAGTGTGGGGGTGTGGGTGTGGGTGGGGTGTCTCTCTCTCTCCCCGAGTCCCCCTCCATCTGAGCAAGCCCCCACCCCCGCCAGTCTGTTTCCCTGTGTGTCTCTCTCTTCTCCCTCTGTCTGGTTCTCCCCCGTGTGTCCCTCTCTCTCCTCCCCCTCCCATCTGAGTCTTCTCTCTGTACATCTGAGACCCTCTTTCTCTCTATCTCCCCTCTCTCTACGTGTCCCCCTTCTAGACAGCCATGTGCTCAGAGCTCCGCATTCAACCAAGCCCTTGGCTTCCTGTTTTCTTTCTGTGGATCCCCTAGTCGACAAGGAGTTCCTGAAGCCACATCCAAGTACTTTGGCTCCTGGCCCGAAGCTGAGCACTCTGCTCCAGGTAAGCCGTGCTGAGATGGCAGGGAAAGGGGCCGGGACAAGGGGGAGAAGTGAAGTGGTGTGGGGCGGGCAGGAGTGGGACCTGGAAAGTGGGGAAGAAGTAGTGTAGGGTGGGCACGAGGGGGCAGTGGAGGCAGACAGGGTGAAGGAAAGCAGAGACACTTTAAGGAAAGAGGGACCAGCACAATGCGACCACTTTACACATTCACCTCAGGAGGGGGGACTCTGGAGCAGCCCGTGGACAAGTCTTAACTGAGCCTCAGTTGACGCCTCTGTAAAGTGGGTCTGCAGACAGCCATGTATTGGTGTGACTATGAAGGTCAAAGCCTCTGGAACCTGGACATTGTATGAGCGCTCCTGCAACCCTGCTGACCAGCTCAAACCACAGGCAACTCAGTTCAGCAGCTGCCCTGTATGTCCACCTTAAGGAGTCAGGCTATCAACCAACAAGGTCGGCAGTTCAAATCCACCAGCCACCTCAAGGGAGAAAGCCATAGAGCCTGCTTCCATCAAGATCCCCAGGCTTAGAAATCCTACAGGACAGTCTGTTCTGTCCACCCTATTCTGTCCTTCTGGATCCCTATGGGTCAGCACTGACTCGACGGCCATAGGTTTGGCTTATAAAGCTTTTATGTACGAAAGGATGGATGAACCAACATTGCTTTGCAAACTTCCACTCGGATAGTGAAATCAAGGAAGGAGCGATTCTCTGGACGGCAGCCGGGAAGGCGGGGAGGCCGGGGAGGCCCACATACCTCCAGGTGGTGCTGCCTGTTGCTGGAGACATCGTAAATGACCCCCGTGTGCCCGCAGACGTAGAGGAGAACAAGCCGCTTGCCATCTCGGAGGTTGAACACGGGTAGCGAGCTGTTCCAGCCAAACGTCCAGGTCATGGTCTGGAAGACAAGGTCCAGGGAGCAAGGTTCGGTGCTCACAGCTCAGCAGGGTCCCCTGGAGGACGCCATGCAGCTTGGGG